TCTTTCGTCATAGTACATTTATTAATAACGAAGTTTATTAATAAGTATCATGTATGCATAACGAACTTTCATGTCTATCTTCGTTCTTATCTGTATTAAAGTCAAATTCAAGTAGAGTGAATTTTCAGATATCAACAGGAGAGCAGAGATCTGCAATTAAATGCATCTTTAAACGGGGTGTAAGTCTTTCATGTGTTCTGCCGCATCCGGGTGTTGGTTTAATAGATTGGTTTGTGCTTTTTTGTTATTGTGATGGGACTCTGGTTTTCAGGGGAAAGAAAGCATATTTGGGATTTTGGGTTGCAGAGAATAAGTTATATAAGTGTAAGGGCACATTAAAGAAAGTCATTTTTAAAAGATGCCGATGAGTTTTATTTGGGACGGTTTTTCGGAACAGTGTCTCTTCTCTGTCCTGTGGCTGTGGTCCAACAATACCAGTGTTGGAATAGCCGGGGTGTGCCGAATGTGTTGGAGACCAGGTGGCTCATCCAATGGATAGCTAGGTTTTGTAGGACCGCAGTACAGTGCCGGTGCTTTACTGGACTGGTGCGCACACCAAGTGAGAGGCAAACAAAACGCCATTTTAAAGTTCCAAAGGCTCACAAGTGCAGAGGAACGGTAATATACTAAAATGACTTGTTACAGAAGTCTCCCACGTCTACCATTACCTTTTAAGAGCTGCTGATTTTTTTCTTGTAGATGAAATCCATTCCCAGGTATCAGAGCCTTATAATATATATAAACACCTCTGATAATTCTGTTTAAGAAATAGTTACGCCCTTGCTTTCGTATCGTCTTGCTAACTCCGCTTTAAGGAGTATGTAGTACTGTACATACGTTTGTCAGTCATTGTTCATCTATCTCAACCTCAAAACGGAGAAGATCCACAGAAATAAATTGAAACAACCTAGATCAAGTGCAACGAACGCAGCCCCTAAGACTTAAGTTTACAGTATGTAACACAAATGCAAATTGCAATTGAGTAACGCATTACTAGTTACGTACCCTTATCCGGTCCAAGTAATAGGTTTATTCCATGCTGAAAAAAAAAGAAAGAACACAACGTTTCAGCCGTGGAGCCTTCTTCAGGTGTGAGAGAGACAGGGCAGTAGGCAAAGGTAATGTAGCGGGAGAACAAAGGCTGGGAGGGAGGAGGAGCGAGAGGTGGGAGCAGGGGACAGAAAGGGGTGAAGAGGTGTGAAATGAAACTTCCAATGAATGGAGAAAATTAAAAGAACAGTAGTCTGTCGTTAAGGGAAGGAGAAGGTGCGATCCTAGCTGCAGAATAATTCTGGTTTTGGTAGTCTTTCTGATGTATGAATTATCCGGTCCACTTGAGCAATAGTGCCATTCTTAAATGACAAAATAATTACAGTAAATTGGCAGGGACATTCAGCTAGAACCGAACTGGTACCTTTTTACTCCTACCAACTCTATAGCGCTCATATACCTATATACAGTAGTTCAAGTGGGGAGCTGCGTCAGCATGCGTAGGCTGCAAAGGAACAAGTAATAGGTTTATTCGAGGAGGAGGAGGAGGAGGACACAACGTTTCGGCCGTGGAACCTTCTTCAGGCCACCTGTTCTCTTTCTTTCAGCTACCTACATATAGGTCAGCTGGGAGTCCACAGCTGATATTAATTAACCTCCAATTAACCTCTGCTGACAGAAAGCACACTACAATTCCAGCAGATAAGGGTTAAGGACAACCTACTGTACGTGTAGCGCTATATTAGCCCTCTAATACCCTACATGACATTCAATAAAATTAAAAAATCCTAAAAAATATTTTAACTGAGTCCTAAAGTCTTAGAAATGCAATTTCATAATTTCTTTCCCAGAAACTACATTAATTGAATAACAATATTGATGAATAACTGTATTTTCAACAATAAGAGAAAGGAAATCACCATCACATGCAGACAAAAGTTAACTGATCTGAACAAATATAACTCAAAGGACTGAAACCTCTGGCAAAAATGCAAAAAAAGTGTTTTCCGTGGTGGTAAAGCCTCTTCTTTATTAAAACAGCCTTGATATGTAATCCCATAAATCTTACACTTTGTAATTCACGACAATAACAGAAACTTCCAATTTCATGACATTTAAAAACATTCTAATTTAAAAACTGTAACCCTTTTATCAATAATACATCAATAAAACATTTTAAGACAAACAACATTTCTTTAATTTCATAACTTTTGATTTTTGATCCCTTAATGATTTGTTGACTTGTTCCTCCCCGGTGCATCATTATCAAACAGCCTAGCACATACAACAGTGAAAACATCATTAAAAACAGACAATCAATTTGACAATTAGAGTCATATTGTGGGAAGTGAATTCATATAACAATGAAAATCAGAGGATTATGCAACTCACAATGTGTAAACGTGTCTAGAGAATAACGCTAAAACATGACACCAGACAATTCAGGTTATGTGATGCAGACTCCGGACGCATCCCCATCAATCGTAACATGGTTCAGGCTCAGGCAGCTACTGTATCTACAAAGACACCTGAGCTGGGCGAGGGCAAGATCAATAAAGAAACACCCCATCTACAGGCCGACCACGCTGCGAGGGAATATCTCAGGGTTAAAGGATTTGTATGTGAAGTCTTCAGGAACGAGTGCCAGTCCATCACAGTTATGTCCCTGTGTGTACCCTGCTTTGTGCCTATTCTCACATTTTTTATCAAATCACAATACAACAAACCTGTCTTCTCACTATCTGGAATGTAAAAGCTTATGTGCCTAATAAATGGCTTTCACTGTTCCGGTTTCATTGAAAGTACATTTCATCCTCGACTGTCATTCTGCACGTCAGCCACAAGATGGAGACCGTGTCCAGAAAAATAAATTATGTGTTTTTCACATATTGAATTCATCAAGATTATTTGTCTACTGAAAGAACAACAGGAATACACAGACAGCACAAGTCTATAATTATTTCTGTTCATGGGTGAATTTTCTTAAAATACTGAAAAACGTTATTGTATTAGTTAGTTAAATCACGGATGCTACTGAAATTTAAAAAAATCGTTTTTTCAACACACTCCAGTCCTTAACATTTACTGCACTCTCCATCAGAAGACCCTTGCACCCTATGCGTGTTTTAAGAACAAAATAAAGTATGTATTTTAGAAGTTGATTAAATGTTTTGACTTTGATTGATCATGAATGATGAATTGATTTTTAATGTGTTATCATGATGCACTTTAGTGACTCTGTTGCAGAAGCATTAAATCACCTCATTAGTGAGAGAGTTGATTGGGCGCAGGTTTCACTGGGCACCACAGATGTGGATGGAGCAGAGCGGAGCCCCTTTGATTGATGGGATGCCCGTGTGACATGTGGGGCTGGGAGACCAGTGCACAGGTTGGCTCATGCTTGTCCAGTCTCTGTGAAAGGAATATTACATAATCCCACAGGAGAGGATCTGCATTCTGGTGCAAAATGTGTTGCAGGTCACAGATGGACTTCTAGAGTTTTAGGGTGAGAGCAACAGTGGCATCACCTGCTACCAGCCTGTTGATCAACCCTGTTGATGACAAGTCAAAGTCAGTATAATGAGTTTACCTGAGTCAAGTCTGTGAACACATAAAATGTGTCTTTTTTCTAATATATTTTTTTGCATTTAGAAATGTTGTCTTTTGATGCTCACTGAACATTTAAAACAACAAGACGAACAATTGATAGGTAGAGGTTGTTAATATCCAAAACATTTAAATATTTGCATATAAATCAGGATTAATATATTTTAAAACCTCCATAACCTTTCATCATCTAGAATTGCCGGGGCCGCTTCTCAACTTGTCTTCAGCAGGGACTGGGAAGCTTGAGTTGCCTGAAGGGAATAGATTGCAAGAACAGTAGAGGAAAACCTGCTTCAGACTTCTACTGACCAACAGCATAGTACATGAGATGAAAATTGACCTCCCAGTAGGACACTGACCCAAAGCAAATGGATGTCCTTGAATGGCCCAGTCAAAGCCATGCCTTGAATCCAATAGGCAAGACTGGGGCAGGACTTGAAAATGGTTGTAAATGCAAACCTAACCAAACAGACAGAGTTTGAGAAGATCTGCAAATAAGAACAGGTGAAAATTCCACTGGCCCTGTTTACAAAGGTGGCAGAGACTTATTTAAAAAGACTATCAATAGCTGCCATCAAAGGTATACTTAGGAAAGGAATACTTACAATTAACACATTTTAGTTTTGTTTTTTCCTGTGCAGTTTTTGCTGGCATTTCATCCATGGCAGTGTTCAGTTTGAAAGTTCAAATTTTGATTAAAAACCTAGGCTTAAGTTTCTATATCATTTGTAGGTGAAGACATTGGAAGGATGTGGATACTTCTGCAAGGCTCTGCATATTTTTCAATAAGTTACCATGTTCTTTCTGTGCAGTTGTCAAGTGGGATATCACAACTGTATATACGTGACTAATAACAAAAGCACATGAATATGAAACATAATCACAGCCTTGCACAAATCCCTCTTTCCTGCATGGCTGGTAGTGCTGCATGAAGGATTTTTTGTGTATGTATGGTGTTACAAATGAAGTGAGATCTAAACCAAGGTCTGTGACTTTCTAAACAATCACAAATGGAAACGCCCAGAGAATAGGACCAACAGAAAGATAGTTTCAGAAATGTTGGTGATTTACAAATTCAATTATCCACTGCCAAAATGCAGCATATCTAAAAACGGTTAAAGATGTCTGTATAAATGCTGATGTTTTTTTTACAACACTTTGGAAAAAGTTCTAAGCCAGATACAAGGAAGAGGCTTGGCTAGCTTTGATTAATTACTGAACAAACAAGCCAGGTGGTCCTCCCATTGACCTGACCTTCTGTGTTGAGTAATAAGCCTAAAACCTGTTGAACAGACAACTCTGGCTTGTTGAGGGTCAGTCAACATTGTCTGTGCCACTAAATTTTTTCTTTTTTTCAGTAAAAAAAACACATATGCAAGAAATGGGAATACATTATCATAGACTGTGGTTGGTTATATTTATTGGCCTTTTTTATTAAATTTACAGGGTTTAGGTTTGTTATTCTTTATGGTAAAACAATGAGTTAATGCTACACCCCCCATCCATTAGTCATCATTGTGCTTTTGTCAGCTGTAGTGTTGGCATAAATCTCACAACAATGCTCCAACAGTTTAGTTATTCTATAGCACATATGACATTTTTAAAGTGTATTTGTTCTTCAAACTATTGAATTGCATTTAATACTCAAAACTAGAAGCACTACCTGCCGGTAATATTTTTTCTAAAATGAAACAAGAAACGAATGACATGATCAGGTAAGTTCAACAATACAAGTTTTATTAACCTACATTAAACATTGTTGTGCACATGATCCATTTGTAACATACAAATACACAATCTTAAAAATCAGATTTGTCATTTGGAAAATATGTGTTTTAAAAGGCTTAATGTAACAAAGACAAAAGAACCTCAGCGGATGACTATGGTATGTACGTTTAGAGTGCCACAGTCTAAATTAGATAAACTAGTATTGTAAAATTCACTGCATAAGCTAAACCTTGGGCTGTGCAGTTCTTCATCCATCCATGCATGGGATACAGCAATGAGGCACAGGATAGGAGATCAGTTCATCCTGGTACACAAACACATCTACTCACACATGTTTGCAGAGAACAGTTTAGAGACAGTATTTAACCTGGACCAGTCCACCAGAAAACCCATACACACATGGGGAGAACATGCAAACAACACCCAGAATCACCCCTAACACCCAGGAACTCTAGAGGCAGCAGCTCTAACCAAGACATCATCTTGCCACCGAACATCTAGTGTTTTTACAAACAAAAAATAATAATTAAAATGTGAAGCTTTTTGTTCATCCTGGTACTCATGCCAGAAATGATGATCAGGATTAAAATATGCTCAGTGCCTTCACCTTCTGTTCTTCTGTGTCACCAAGAACAGATTTGGAATATATTCAGACCTAGGGGGTCCAGGTCTGGGGGTGAGTCCTGCTGCCACCTCACAGCTCTTGATTACTGGGCTGAACTGTAGCCTGTGGGCCCCCGTTTGTGGAGCTTGAATTCTCCTGCACCTCACATGGGCACGTGAGTTTACTCTGAGTGCTGTAAATTCCTTCCAAAGACATGCAGTCTAGGTCAAGTGACAGAACTCAGTTTTCCCCCACATGTGTGTGGTCTGCAATCGACTAGTGTCCCATTCAGGTTGTACCCTAACTTACACCCATATACTGTACCAGCAGAATTCAGTGCAATTCCAACTAGTGATATATGTACAGAATTGAATGATGATTCACTCTCAAAGAGGGATCCTTCAGATGTTCGTTTTTAAAGTTGCCTGTTGAAAAATGAGGGAGTACAAAATGCAACATCCAGCTAGCAATTACTCTTCCTATGAATAATAACACTCGTTGAATGATATTCTGAACGTCTGTAAAGTTCTGAACTTTGAATCAGTTACAACAAACCGTTTAGCCAATGTATAATTCTGGTATCCCCCTACGGAAACATTTCTCATGAGCGTCACAAGCAGAGCACTATTCCATGTGCTTGCACTATCTTGGAGATACAAATTTGGCGAAGGTGCTGTTTGATTCCAGTTTAATTGTACTCTTAGTTTAGAGCACAGTTGCCTTCACACCCACACGAAGCTGCAGCTCTCTCCGCTCCTCCTGTTCGTTCCCTGCTCTAGCCCTGCTCGGCTGCGTCCTGTGGCAGCTCGGACTGTGGCGCGAAGACGGGGAAGGGTGAGCGCTCCTCCTGGGCTTGGCAGACGCGCTGGATGATGATGCACTGGTAGTTCCAGAAGAGCAGCAGTACCATCACAGCCAGAGCCAGCAGGACGACGAGGACCAGCGAGACTCGCTGCCAGGACCAGCCTACCACAGCTGCAGGAGCAGGCTTCCCCATCTCAGCGTCGCAGCTTAAGGGAGGCGTTTTCTGGAAGATCCGCAGGGATCGCTTTATCCACGCCTGGACAGAGTTACCCTGTCTGAACTCCATGTCTTCCCAGGCAGTGCCGTTCACCAGCCTGTCACCTTTATTAGTCAGCAGTAGCGGACGGGAGGCCCTTTCTTCACTGAGGTCACAGTGAGCCGGAGGTGGTGCTATACTGTACCTGCAGTACGACAGATGAAACGTCTCAGGAAACGTCTGTTTACTATTCGCACACAATCCACTGTGTTCTACACCTGAGACAATGAACTGCAGAGGGACCTCTGGCTCGGTTTGACAGCATGGGTCTGTCGGTGAGAGAGGTAATCTAGCAACACAAGAAGAGTCTCCTGTTTACACATCTGCAGCTCCACGATTATACACCATATAATATAAGCACCAAGCAAGGCATATTTTCCCTTACAAAAAACACGAGAGTTAAATTGTGTGTTGGGGCTTAGGCATTTCCTAAATCAAACTGTTTCCATTGTTAGTTGGTAACAGTGTTAATCTTACACTGTTAATTGATTTCTACTGTTCATACCTAAGAGGAATATGCAGGGGGATTTCTCCCTGCATATAACAGCAAAATTCATCTGTAGTGGGATGTACAAATGAAAATATGCATGTCTTGCGTGTAAATTCGATATAGAATACATTTTTGGAATTCATTGCAAATACTGAAGTGTTTAGAATAAACGTAAACTAAAGAACAGGAGCATACTAAAAACAATGTAACACAAAACAACGGCCAGATGAACACGATTAAAGCGTTTGGAAGGTTTCATTATTGCTCAGGACTGCTTAAAACCAGCAGGAGCATGGAGTGCCGCCAGGACTATTAACAAGATGTGCTGAAATCCGGAGTTCAATATTGTAGCACTGTTACAATCATCCTTGAGCAACGTGTCTCACACAGACTGCTGTATACAGTAAATACAAGTACAAGTCTCTTTGAATAAAAGCAAGTCCTAGTCAAATAAAATAAGACTAGTTTATAGCAGTTGTTTTAAAGAGTTCCTTCGAGTGAACATCATCACAGCCCGGTTGAAAGTCCTGAAAGTAAAAACAGTAATGAGAACCTACCTCGGACTCTCTTTTGGATCCAGAAAATGAGATGGAAATCGAACGGTCGTTAATGACTGTATATCAATTATGTATTTCCCTAGCGAGAGAAGACATTTCTAATTGTACTGCAAGTCATAAATAACTGCAATAATTGTTAAATAAATATGCACTCGCACATAGAAAGGCGCTCAGCTGCGTTGCCTGCTCCAGGCTGACTGCGAGCGCTGGCAGCTTCTCTGCTTTATGCAGCGCGAGCTGAGCGCTTACCTCGCCAGGTGCTGCCCCGCCCCCAGGAGCGAGAGGCGGGGTCGCACCGCGCTGCCGGCAGGTGGGGCCGCGGGTGCAGATTTAACCCCTGGACTGTCAGGCTGGTCAGTACCATTTTTTCTAATGAGTCTTTGCTGGTCTAAGACCCGAGATGAGCAGGGTTTGTAGCATGATCTCTCTAAGCTGCACACCTACTCGGTTTCGATCAAATGATGGTATATTTTCAAATACATTCATTTGATTTTTCAAGAAAAATTATTAGAAAATTGAGCATCTGACCATCATGACACCAATCCATTTGAATTAGGTACTAAGTGTTGGAGTAATGATAAACGGGGCTTATGCTGCATCAATCATTACTACATTAAAATGCAATTAAATCATTGTGTCTTTTGGCATATCTCAATTTAACAAAATGTTAATGTATTATCCTCTCTGTACAGCATAGTTGTTGTCATTATCTACAATAACTCTTTAAAAACCGTTATTGTGGTAACAGAACAATATTGTACTTGTGAAAATGCGGGTATCGGCGGGTATACTGCAGTTAAAACTGGGCTCTGAGGTCGAAGATTAGCGCCACCAGGAAACTCGCTGGCTGAGGGGAAGAGAGAAGCCGCTCGCCTTCTTTCGTATTTAAAAGCATTAGTGTTTAACTGACACGTGAAAGCTGAAGAAAAAGCCGACATCCAGTTGTAAAAAGATTAGTGTTTTTATAGACCACAAACCGGCTGTTCCTACTGTTTATGAGATCTTAGGCTCAGTCGTGGTTGAAGGTTGTTTTGCATAAATTAAGAACACAACTGTAATAAAAAAAATTCAGATTCTTATCTTTATCATACCCGGAAGGGGTTAATGAAAAAGACACACACCCGAATTTACAGCCTTGTTCCAGTTTAGCAAACAGATGGATATTCGTCCTTGATTGTTGTCCTATCCTAGGTTATGTCAATATGAAAGGCACCTCTTGGAGCTGAAATCAGTTCATTGGCCTGATGACATTTCTGTAGGTTAACAGGGAGAAGAGTCAGTGCAAAAATATGGAGATAAAAAGTCTATAATTGTTCATTGTCCATTGTCATTATAAATTTGAAGGAAGTTAAGAAGCATTTTTAGATTTTACATCAATTTAAATAATAATGAAAACTCTATAAAGTCTGTAACCAGAATAAAAAATTAGTTTCCTCTAAAATGCACTTCAAAATTTATATTAAGAGGTTAAGCAAAAGTTCTATTTCAATAAACATAGCATACCTATTTGCCAGACAAAATATGCCGAGCATAAAAAATAAAGTACAGCAGTTTTGGATGGTGATTAAATGTCTTTGGTATCATATAGATTAACTGATCACTTATGACTGAAAATTATACACTTTAGTAAGTTTGCAGAAGCATTGAATAACTCCATCAGTGAGAGTTGACTTGGTACAGATGGATGATGAGGTCATTTACATTGGAAATTCACAGCCACCATTTCTGTCCTATCAAGGCGCTGTAGCTAAACTCTGTCCATAAAAGGCCATAATCTGGGACACCATGAACCAGAGCACCTCACCAAGAACTGAGGTCCAAGTCTGAAGGTCTGTAGAACTCCACCTGTAGTGGTTGATGGCAACATAACTGGAAGGTGCTTTATTAATGAAGTCATGAGACCTCACTTAATGTTCTTGCAGACTCTTCCTGACTTTCTAGCAGGCCAATGGAGGCCCTCTTGTGCTTTGTGTAACAACACCTTTCTTGTAAAATGAGGCTGTGAAATGTCTTATTCTACTATGCCATGAACACCCTCCTCACCAGATTTGGGGCCAATGGAACATTTTTGATTTGAGTTGGGATGAGATGCGGTAGGTAGGCCTAATGGGATCAAATCCCATTGAACAACATCTGCAGGCCACAGCCCTTTCAAAGCAGTGCTTTTCAGACACAGCATGAGTACTGCTTGCATTGTTTCTTTACACTCAGGACAAGCGTCTGACGTCACAGCAGATCTCTGTTGCCCAGTCCTGTTGATCACCAGTCTTGCTCATCAGAATAAATGTCATGTCTGTTCAATAAAATACAAATGCACCTTCTACAAAAAAAGATTTAACACTTCTAAATATCCATCCTAATATTCAGGGTCTCAGGGGAAGCATAGAATATCCTGGCAAGCCATCCCACTGCAGGGCAGGGCACTCACAGACACACATTGTAACAATGGGTATGCAGGCAGTGGACTATCACAGAACTAATCTCTGTTGCACACCTGAACGAGGCTCCACAGCCGAAATGTTGTTTCCTTTGCTTTTTTTCCAGCATGGGATAAACCTGTTACCCGTTCCTCTGCAGCCTACGCATGCTGACGCAGCTCCCTACTTGAACTATTCTCTGTTGCATACTGGTCCAATTGAAAAACACTACAGAATCCAACTGTTACCAGTAGAAATACATGTTTCAAAAATTACTTTGGTGTAGCTCTCAATATCAGTGTGTGTGTGTGTGAGATCAACTTTTTGACATTGTATTATGATGATAAAGCTTTGTCTATACTAGTAAATTAAACAAAACTTGTAATGTGCTATTAGCAGGAGTTTTTAATTGAACAATTAAAGTTACTGTTGCATAGGAAAATAATTATTTTGATCAAGGTACTGTACATAGCCAAATGAAACAAGATGCATTAATGCGGCTTGATTTATTGAAAATAAAGAGAGGTGTCTAGAATATTATAAAATTGGCATAGACAACATCTAGAGTAAAGTTCAGAGAAGCCTTCCAGAATTAAATGTGCCCCGTCAATCTTGAGGGAAACACCTGCTCTGTGTTGTTATGATCTGCAGGATATATTTCTCTGTGCCAGAGATTGGAATACTAATACAGTATATAATTTTATTTTTACAGACAGGTTTCTTATTTTGCTGAATCAACACTACTCCAATTTATATTTTTAAATTAATACTTTATGCAATCTATGGTTATTCACCATAATATTATATGCTTAGTTTACCACATTATTATGCAAAGTATTTTCTTTCTGAGGATTTCATCATGAAATGTTTGTATGACATTTGATGAGTTCATTGTTTTATTTTTAAATTATTTAAAAAATATATTTTTAAAGCTTCATACACTTCTGGAAATTACCAAAGACTTTGGAGTTTTTCCATGATAAAACTAAAAAAATATAGGTTATTTTTCTGTAGTGACTTTTGTGATAGTGTTTATGACAACTATGAGTCATTGAAATAAGAATCTTGTTATTGTTAGGCTAAACAAATGCTTTGTTTATAAACGAAATCTTAGCCATTCACTGAATCTGATTCTTAACATTTAGGGCAGAATGAACAGCAAAGGTGGAGACGGGAAACAGAAAGTATCGTTTTCCCAACAGAGCACATCAGAAATAAGCAGCCGAAGTCAACGCCAAACATGCAGTAAACATATCAGTGCTGTCGTGCAGCTGCTGTGTACGAACACGGAGCCGGACCGGCAGGAAACATGATCCCTGGCAGAAGAAACCACCCCACTGCCTCCCGAACTTGAGACGTCTATAAACGAACTGCTCCATCGTTTTTATTTCATTTTAAGGTCAAACGCTTTAGTGAATTTAGTCTTTTATAATTTTAAATTTAATAAAATAAAAACGTTAGGCAGTGTTACAGTTTTAAAACAGAAAGCAACAGAGAAGTATACCGAGCATCAGAAGAAACCAATAATTTATAATTATATACAAATTCACAAAGTTATTAATAGTTAAAGAATTAAATCAAAGGATGTTATGTTAAAATTATATACTGCACTGGTAAGGCCTCATTTAGAATATTGTCTACACTTTTTGTGTCCAGAGAAAAATAAGAAGATACATTCTGGGGCCTGAGGAAATGTCCTAGACTGAACACTGACAAACTGATGGAATTGAACCTTTCTAGTCTTGAGATGATTACGGGGGGATTTGATAAAAATATTCAAAATATTCAAAGGCCAATAAGATAGATTGTGAGTGAGAGAAGGCCATTTGTCTCATCCACTTGTTCCAATCTAACACTGTGTACAAAAGACCAGCACTGCTTCTTTAGCTTAGACACAAACACTTCTAGGGTCCTTTGAAACAAAATGCATTATCGCAGTGCTTTTTGAAAAAAACAGCAGAACTTTCCTGTATAATATAAAAATACAGGAAAATATATATATCAGGGTACTATACAATACAAACACCCATAAAGTGTTTATTATGTCAATGAATGTAGAGAAGTATCTTTCACTGTTAATTAGGACACTATTTTCATTTTAAGCAAGTAATACAGTAGCTAGTAATTGTAAGCAAGTGAACATGAGTGCTTGTCATGAGGTTGAGATGGTACTCACACAGTTACCCACGATGTCTGGAAATTCTGCATGACTAGAAGTGAATTTGGAATTGTTAGTGAGGAGAGAAAATACCAATTTGGGCATATTTGAATGAAAATATATTTTCTTTCTACACCTTATCAGAAAAGAAGTTTGCTCCAGCTCTCATCTGCTGTTTGTACAGTCGTAAACTAATTTTAGAGTTTGGATCCTGGTGTTTAAACATATCTCCTTTCCCGTGCTTTGCCATCTTTAGAACACAGGAGAGGAAGTCTAACAGGTTCCATGGGAGGGTGATCTGCTGATGTTTCTGGAATGAACCCCAGGCAAACCTCAAGGAAAACACTGCCTCAGTGAACAGACCAGTTTGCACAACAAGGATGTCTCTGTAGATATGTATGAAACTGCAGCAGACTGCACTGTAGAAGAACGTTTTATTTCTGCAAACATTGAGGAATGTTAACTGTAAGAAGGGAACATATTTTAAAAACACTGTGACTGAATATTAAAGGTTTTCTGCATATGCTAACCTGACTTCACATCTGAATTATTCCTTAATCCTTATCCTCATGCCAAGTTATCTTAGCTTTCTCAGAACAAGGAGCTCTGCCTTCCTCTGCCCGGAATCTGAATGTAATAGAAGCACGTTTAGAGTTGATCCGTGTTGTATCACAGTCTGAGCAGTTATAGCAAGTCTGTGCTGATGGAAAGCAATGTGAGCAATGTGTGATATAAACATGCACTGTTGCTGTCTAGATCAAGGGGATGTGACTATTATTGTGCAGAGAGAGAACAGCAGCTTCTGAAAGTTTCCTGTTTGTTCTTCATCTGTTTCTAGAACAGCAGTTTTCCATCCAATTACCTTCACCTGAAGAAAATGATGCTGTCAGAACATGTAGACAAACGAAACTAATTTCAGTTTGATTTTTGACAGGTGGTAGGGCCTTATGTCTGAGAGTGCTCTACCTACACAGTCAGCAGTTTCTTAACCATAAACAAACTCACACATTAGCTGCACAAATACAGCAGCTTAACTGAGCGACAACCATTGTGTTTGTCTACACCAATTAAACATTAAAGAAAAGGTAATTTTAGATTCCGAAAAGGAATTCTCTTAGACATTAAGAATCAAGTTGCTAAAGCCCTTGCCTTCACTTAATCTCCAAAAGCTAAACTTTTTCAATATGTAAATACAAGTAAACTAATAGAAAAACTACAGTATATAACAGTTCATTATGAAAGAAAGAAAATAAATGGGCTTTCTAATCTCACTTGCTTAGTGTACCTGGATGTGTAGCTATGGCTGTGCCTCCCACTGCCCAGAATACCTAATCAGTCGTTATTCATTAATGGCCAGAAACAAAGTCCACTGGTGATCAGGATAGGTGGTCAAGTCAAAGCCCATAATGAATAAAATCGGCACATATAAAAAGACATAATTAGCCTTAATATTATGACCAGAATTAAAATACTGCAGATATTTTAAAAAATCCATGAATTCACTTATAACTTAATGCCTTTTACTGTCAAGTCATATACAGTTGTGTACATATATCTAGAAATGAAGGAGCAAGGCTGACACCTGTTGTAGAACATTAGTCATATACAGTATATCACACATAGACATGAAAAAAGTCAATTCCAAATATAATCATGTCTTCAAAATGGAAACATTGTTTACATACAAATGTACATTTTGTTTTCAGCAGACACTAGTAACCTTAGGCTCATAGTGAACACAAATGGACTATTTTCTGCCTCTGCAGTACACAGATCATTTCAGCTGCATCAGTCCTTACACATTAAAATTTTAAAGAGCTGTCCATAAGCGTAATAAAGGTTCAGGATTAAACTGGAATATTAGCCACAACCGTGCTCGAATCGTCTCTTCTGGGCTCAGACTCCTAGGAGAGCAAGGACCAGTCAAGGAATGTCTGTCACCTCTTATCTGGAAGACTTTGAAAGGGACAGTCTGCTGTCATTCTGTGTCCATCAGTACTGCTCCTTTTACAGGCTCCAGGCCTACAGAAGCTGAAGCAGTCAGGTTCATGGCCAACCAGAGCATGTTCATCTTAACTCACCCGCCAGAGCCACCCAGGTGCACTGAGCTACTGCCCTTTTCATGTCTTCCTTCCTGCTTCTTTTAAAAGTGGAATATTACGTTGCATTAATAATAAATAATTACTCAGCTTTCTACAAGTTTTAAATATTTACATTGCAGATTTGAAAATACAGTATTATCACAAAAGCTTCTAAATGAAGACAGAAATGCTGCAGTAGTCTGTTTCTAGTGTGTGCCCCTCCTACAGTGCACAGTGTGTGTCGGGGGGGGGCAGCAGCACAGGACAGTGAAAGACTAGATACAAGGATGTCACAGAATCCAATGCAGCAAAAACAATGCAGCCCCTTAAATCTAAAAATCACATCCTTTTGTTCATAGTCTACACAATCTATACAGTTTAAAAATTAAAGTCCATTTTTGTTTCCATTTGCCCTCAGTTTGTCAGAAGAGCTACAGGAGACCTCATGGTTACCATTGGGTCTTGTTGCAGAATTTGGGTTAATAGTTTTCTGAAGATTTTGTTCAATACAACTGGAATGCAGAAGAGAGATCTCAGCAAGAATCTCTCAGTAACATACAGTTCAAAAACATTACTTTGGATGCACATTGGTGGTGGTGGAGGGGAGTACCAATTACCTGTAAAGCGCTTTGAGTGAAGTGTGCCAAAAAGATAATTATTATTGACACACTACAGACAATAGGTGCTGTAGGCACAAAGTCTAAACTTAAGTGAGAATTATTATTTGATATTCACAAAATAATAAGCTACAGATTGTTACTGATTTATTACATCGTCTGAGCATCCAGAGTGTCATGACCTGTGACTGAGTCCATTACAAGGCAGATTCACTGTGTGCTGGGATGGAGAGGGCAGTAAGTGTCTTCTTCCTGGTCTCCCCTTGCCCCTGGACTGGGCCTCGTCCTCACACTACAGTGCTGACCGAGGGGTCGGAGAGGTTCAGCTGGCCCGTGATGTCGGTAGGGTGATACTGCTGAAAGCGAAAACACACAAAAAGAAAAAAGAATCAATTTCTCCAGCACCATTTCCTTACATCCGCATACAAAAAATGGTCATTTTAGATGTAATGAACCAAAGAGTTTTCTACGTGTTTAACCTATTCCCCCTAGGCAGCTGAAATTCCTGAATATTTGCATGCAGCTCTGATTGACAGAGGAGACGATGAGCAGGCACATTTAAACCTGTTCTAGCCTCCATTTTAATCAATAGGGTAAACATGACCATGAGAACACAGCTTTGTTGTGCCAGTTAAAGGATTCCAACAGAGGTACTGTAGTATTACACATCTGTTGACTCAACCATTTTTAGCATTGAGGCCCATTTGACCGCAGGAGACACCATCCAAATTTCCATTGCGTGGCTCATGGCCTGAGGCCCAGTCACTCCCAGAACTGTAGGAGATCAGGTGGACACCTAGAGGCCAATGCCACCAGTCATAGCGGGGTGACTGTCTGTCTGAGGAGAAGTCTTTTGTCAGTATCTCCAGGGGGAAGGGCTAAAGAAAGAACTTTAGTGAAGTATGTAACAGGTTTTTGGGTTCAAAGGTCACAATGTATTGGATTTTAGAGCAGTGAGACTTCAAGAAATACTGTGTTACCTTGAAGAACAAGAGTAACACCAGTATTACTTGTGCGTTAAACATTTATCACTGGCCAGGTGGGTCAGCACTTGTTAAATAGGTTTGTATTTAATATCTAATCTCTTTTAATATCAATAAACGTTTTCAAACAAACCATAGCCATTGATAAGCACTACATCAGCTTACATGTAAACAGTAACTAAATTACTGGTTTTAGAATTTTTAAAGTAAATTTCCCCAAAACCTTTACCATTTTGAAAAATATTTACAATATTCATAAGTACTGATTAAATATGAAACACTTTTCACAAAACATCAAATTGCAGTTGGCTGAAAAATCTTTGCTAATTAATTGTATTTTAATAAATACAAATATATAAAGTTACTTAAGAGGAGCTCCAAGTGATCATGATTTTTTAAAATATTCTTTATGCAGCGACATTGTGGTTGGAAACCTAATAAGACCAGAAACCAAGCTTTGTGAAAAGTGCTCCTGCAAAGCACTAAAGGCACAAAGGGAAGTTTAAAGATTGATTTTTTACAAGCAACACTACCATTTCAGTAGTGTGATTGAACTACAAAACTACATTAAAAGTACACTGAAGAGAATTCATCAGCACAGCAGCAAATGCAACATGCTATAAAGTTCTCCAGTATTTGAAACCAATACAATATTCATGGAGGAGTAATTGTATTTGGCTAACAGAGCAGAAGATGAGCAGAATACTTTTAATACGTGACAGTAAGCAAACGTTTTACAGAGTCCTTCGTCCTGAACATTCCAAACCTTTCCCGAAGGTCCCTCCTGCTGAGAGACAGGTGAAGAGCAAAAGAGAAAGCCTCTACACCTACAGTCATGCTGGCACAGGAAAAAGAAGCATTGTGGCATGTAGTGGGAACACTCAAATCCATTGAAATCCATTTAAAAACACTGATAAAACAATGATACGACTGAAGATGGGTACATTCCAGTAAGGAGATTTTTCAGCTGTTAGTTCTTATAATATCAAAAGTACTAGTTATTGAGTCTGTCCCTGCAGGTCCTCACTGTTATTTCTCCCACAAAGAAGCAAATAATCAAATGAGTGTTCAGGACAGATATATACACCTCCAATGACTGGCATGTTTGTATAAAACCTTGTTTGCTTTTTGGTTGACTACAAGGTCCAGACTGCAATTCAGTCTCTTTCCAGACTCCTCTCTGAAGAGCTTAAGACTGATGGTAGTGGAGGAGGTGATGGCCAACTGTACAGTAAGAACACAGACAGTAGATGCCAGATCTCTTGGTCTGTTCTGCTAAGTCAAATTTAACAAGTAGCCATCACAATCAGGCTGGCTGGACTCTAGTCCTGGATGGGTGGCTGAAATGTTTATTTTGTGAACAACAAAGGAAAGAAGAGCCTGTCAGTGGGAGCACCCGGGCATTCAGTATCTGCAGAAAAGTCAGTTCAAACCAAATACAGTACATTACCACCAGCAACTCTGACTGGCAGGTCACCTGTACATTAAGCCTGTAGAGTAACTGTGCAGGACTAGAGAGGAAACTGCAGGAAATCTTTAACTTTTTTAATTAAGATCATTCTTGTCCATCAAGGTAGCCAAGAAAATAACCTATAAAATAGAAAACTTTAGGTTTTAGCAACATGCAAATAAAAGGAATTGCACTGCAGTGCTGCTGTTCTCCTGAGTAGCAACACTACCAGCACCACTAATGTGAGGTGTTGCCTTCCAGTGTCACTGCTCCCCGCCGAGGACTGTGTGTAATTCTCTGTTTTACTGTGCCATTTCTCATTGCCAAGACCTTCACTTGGTCACCCGTCTAAATCTATGAAGAAAAGCTATGTAGAGCCAGACTTCATCTCTCTCACCTCGCTGGGTCCCAGAGTGGATCTGGAAAAGGTCAAGCCAATGATAACTGTTCCTCATCCCAGTGATGTTTGTGTTCTTATGCAAGTCAGTTTTATGCACTTACTCCATACTGAGTAATGAAATAAAATGAGCAGCAGTATGGATAGTATGGCTGTTGAACTCCTTTCAACAAGAATCCCATTAATCTCTTCCCAGATCTTCTCAAACTAGAAACTGATCTCTGGGCCCCTTTCCCAAATCCTGCTGTAACATCACATATGACAAGGATTTGTATCACTCGTTGTTGTTCCATGGATGCTTCAATGTGGAAAAAAGGAAAGGGTTTTCATGATATTCATGCTGCCGATTTCCATGTTTTCAGTTGAAGACAAAATAAAAAATTAGATTATAAGAATTAAACTCTGCCAAGTTCCACCTGCATAGCAAAATGTACCAAATACATATAGTGTCAGCAGGATCTTCCAGTAATGGAAACTTTGCTAGAAAAAAGTGCTCTGGTTAGTTTTACAAGTTGGTCATTACATCTTGTTGGTTTGCCTGGGCCACTGAAAGTTTACAGCGGTGTTGATCAGCTGTGCTATTTGTGCTCACTGGTAAAACTAATATCGGCTTGGAAACACCTCAAAGGAAGAAAAAAATTAAAACGTAACTAATATAAATATTATACATACAAGGTGAGGTGAAATTCAAATTAAATGTTTTTAATGACAAGACAAAGCAGTAAAGGGACAGGAAACGCTTACATACAAAAAAGAAAAAAAACTGAGAATATTAAGTTTTGTGATTGGGGAGAAAGAGCAGCACAGAGAAACTGGAACAGAATCTGGTCTCAACTCCGCTCCCTGCCTAGCGATCGCCCTAACCCTCCCTCCGGTCAAACCTAGTGTTCTCGGCCCACTCTAGGTCCCCTGCAGGCTACTACCCTTGGGCTCGTCCCTGCTGAGCAAACGTCTGGATGGGTTCTAGATGGTGGATTGACAGACATGTGGCCATGACTGCAAGTGCATGTGTGAGGGTGAAGAAACTCTGGAATGGGACGTTCTGTCAGTAAAGATGGGATGGTAAGAGAGAAAGGCAGAGCAGGTAGAGAGTGACTGAAAGAGAGAAAAAGAGAGAGGAACAGGGAGGGTGTAACTTCTTCATCTCCTTACCGTATCTTTGGAGGACCTACGTCTCTTGATGCTGGAGGCCAGGGTGGAACTGATGGACCTAAAAGAGGCTTTCTTTTTGGGGTCGGGCTCTGCTCTACCACTTTTTCTATCCTAAAATAAATATATATGTAGAAGAATTATTGAAATTCTCAGATGGAGAGTGTTTGGTTTCATCTTGCCCTACCTCACAGCTGACGAGTCACTGCCTGCTGATGGAAATCCAGCTCTGGCTGGGCAGCAGTTTGTCCAGTGGAGGGGCCACAGGAAGGGACACAGCACCATGTCATCCCGAGCTCCCCCCCATCAAAGCCAAGGGGCTTCTCCGCTACCTAGACAGTGAGCTTTGCTCGAGCAGTCTTAGATGCTGGGTACATATTTCATGAATCTTTCAAGAAAACAGCTGAAAGCACCAGTGCTGGCACGCTATTCTTTCTTTACAAAGTTTGCAAAACTAAATCAGATAAGACCATGCTGTCCTAACACTGGCAAGACAAGACTTGTGCTGTTCCCCAGGCTTGTACTGCATCCCTGGGGAAGTTGTGTGGTGGACAACCTATGTCAGGGTACCGAGTGTGGCAGTGGAGCGGATGTCAACCCATGCTGTCAACTGGAGCATCTTTAACTTCATAAACCCTCACCCCAAAGGTTTCTACTGTATATCCATCTGGCTTTAACTTGACTTGGTAATCTGAAACTGTAACAAGTAACATTTTCTTAAGAGCATGGGTGGATGCCCCCACATTGAGTGAAACTGCTTTAATCATCTTTCACCAGAATGCAGTGTGGTCCCCCCTTCCACGTTGTGTGAAGTAGTACCCATCCCTACTCCTATCCAACCCATTCAGCATGGTGAACCCTTGTCTCTGCCTTATTTACAAAAAGTGTAAGAGCAGGTGTGACTGGATATATTCATAATTAGGTATCCTTACATCCTGTTTCTCTAGAGAGGTAGAGGGCTGCATTGGAAAAAAAGAAAAAAGAAACATTCATCTTCTGTTTTATGTTCATTGTACTTAAAAAATAAATGAATAAATGCTACCTTAATAACAGCAAAGAAAGCACAAAAATGAAATAAAGCCAAGCACCTTCTTCAAATAAATTGACTGGGGAAACCAGAACGATGCAGAAAAATGTGAGAAAAAGCAAAAAAGTAAACTGAAATAAAAACCCTGCATTATACCGAGAGCCAGGTATAACGGAAATTCACCCCACACGTTAGGAGTAAGGCAGTGTGGTGTGAATTTCACCTGAAGGCATGCATCACAGGGAACTCAACAGGAGAAGCAGAATGGATGAAATGAAAGTGATCCAGGCCAGCACGGTCCCAAACGAGGGGTCCTCTGTCAAGAAACTCAATGACCCTGGGGCTCTCGTGCGACCTTTTGACCTGTGACTCTGCTAACCCTTTAATTTCACACTCAGGACCTGAGATAAATACTAAACCTGAAGGTGGTGTTTCAGTAAAAACTTGAACAAGAAATGACAAGAAGAAATGGCCTTCCTTTAGTTAAGACAGTACTTCCCAAAATAATGGTCTAACTTAATTGAACTTTAACAAGCCAGTGAGTGATTCAAATAGCTGTGTCCTGATAAAATCACAAATTCTTCTAAAAAGGAAAACATTGAGTGACTTTGCAAATGATAAGCTTTTTATTTGAATGTTTCAGATTGAGCATGATTGTGTATCGATGCATGTTTCAGTTTACTTATGTGCACTGCTCCAATGCTGTAATGTCAGCAGCACTGCAAGAATGATACAGTCCTATAAATACAGGGGTTGTGCAGTGGGACAGCTTTTGAATGACACAGTATGCAGCCTCCAAGGCAAAGCCTGAGCTCACTGGCAGAAGTGTTATATGGACCCATTAAACCTCTTTCAAGGTGTCCCTGTACGTCTCTAAATGAAACTTGTCATTACCAATCTAAGTGTTGAAACAAAGGCAGTTACTGCAGGCAGCAGAAATTGACTCTACATGCAAAGTTATGGGAACCCTCTGAAATAACACAACAAAGAACCACCATACTTATTCCTTCAATAGCAGGCGTTCATAATGAGTTGTACTTGTCCTTATTTTTCAAAGATATGTGAAAGACTTCTGGTACTCTGTACATCCAGATCAGGTTATTCAATATTGCACCATTTCCAGAGCTCCCTGTGGTGAAATGTGTATGTGTAGGTATATACATATATTTATATATACACAAATACATGTGTATACCCAAGTAAGCCTAACTAAGAAGATATTCAAACAATAGAGAATTATGTTGATAAACTGAAACAGTAGTAAATCCTCTATTTTGAGCTTACCTGTCACTTGGGCTTCCTTGGTTTGATAATTCAACAACAGCTGCCTTATCAATAGCCCACGGCAATATCACGCTCAGAGTATTTACTGCACAGCTCCCAGAGCCACCGAGAGCCACCACGTCTCCTCGTATTTCATGTCCATTTAGCGAATTTCTCACTTGCCTTGCGTTTCCTTGCTCTGGTTTTGACGGATCATACTAAATTATGACAGCTGTAATCTAAACATTCATGTTTTTTGCTAGTAAAGAGGAACAAAAACTTGGAGAGAAAAGATGGCAGAGAGAAAATTCCTTCCGAGATCCGAGAAGTAGACCATTGAACTAACATTTAGCATTCCTGCAGACATTACAATCCATTTCAGCTTACTATACCCCTTGAACATTACTCTTCACCTTAAAGACTGATTTAGGTATTGTCAAAACAAAAGGGCTTTTGCAAAGAATGTTATGAAGCTGATATACATTGACTGAGCTTGTTCAATGTGGTGCCATTTCTGTTGTCTTATAAATGTCAAGATGCATTTATACATTTGTTCAGCTTCATTGTACATTGATACATTACACTCAGGATGGTATCAGCTAATACTATCCTAAAGCAACACTTAGTCTCCCTGTGGGTTTAGCACCAATATAAATACACTTCAAAAACAGTAACAGGATTGCCCTTATCTATTTTAATTTTGGCATTTTAAGATTATTCATAATGAATTTAGACTACCTAACGTTGTCATTAACACCAGGCGTTTGGCACAAAGACACATTACTAGAGAGTCCAAGCGCTTGCAAAGCTCAAGGCTTGTATACCAAGGCTTTAGTCAAATTGAGAAAACCAGTCCTGTACCATAGTGTCAGCGTCTCACTTGGCTGGGACAGCAAACACACAAGACGAGAAGCGCACAGCAGAGCGTAACACCAACACCCCAGCACAACCTCACAGTCAGAGCAACAGCGCGGCACTCAGGAGGAGGAGGATAGAGGGGGAGGGGCTGGAAATCGGGCTCATCCTGAGTATACTCGGAGCCCCTTTGAACCCCACGTAGGAGAGGAACAACAGCTCATCCCGACACAAATGACAGCGTTCTCCCTTCCTAACCAGCTACTGGTAATCACCAGGGACGTGGGGCCAATACGAGGCAAGAATAAGGAAGCCCTTGTACACTGCCGATCTCCAAAGGGGTAGGAGCCAAAACGGTTGTATCTATGGATTTTATCTGTCTGTTGGTTTTTGTTCTACTTACAAGCGACACAAAAACACGCGTATCACTGCTTCATGCCATGAACTGGAATGAATTTTCTTTTTTCGTTATCTGCTAGTTTGCTAGTGGAACTCCAATTCTGACAGATAGGATGACATGCAACGGGATGGTTGTTACGTACTAATCTCGGAGTCCCGGCCCGGCCCAGTACTTCCCTCCCCGGAACCTCCTTATTGTCCTGCAGGGGCACACAAGAGACAGGAGCTGTGTTGGACTGTGTCCTATCGGCGCTGGGGGACTGATGCTACACTCGCTTTTCCAGCAGTGCGCTACAGGGGGAGACCCTGCTGACTGCACGACTGCACTCGAACCACAGCCACTGGGATAGTGAGACCCCTCTTTCAGCCTTGTGCTCACAACTGTTTATAAGCCTAAATACATACTGTATACAGTATACCTATCTTCATATGGGAGCTTCATCTGTAAGGAGTAAGAATGCTTAACTGCAAGCTTTAAAGATTAGGTTCAAAATCCTTCAGATTTTTAACTGAAATCCACTCCCTATAGTTCACTCGCACCCGTGACTCTGCATCCGTTTAGACAGGAAACTGAAGGTACCCAGCTGCCAGCTCCTGATCCTCCAGCACCGCCGGAGAGCGAGGGCGCTGCCGGGTCACGGAGGCCCTGCCAAGCCACGACTCGGCCTCCTCCACTGGCTCAGGGTTAAAGACATACCTGCAGGTTCTTCCTCCACACGTTGACTGCAGCAAAAGCCAGCTGCATCTGCTTCCTGCGGGCATCCTTGTGGCGCTTGTACGCGATCTCAATAAATATCAAGAATATGCCTGCCACAATGCCCCCAGCCACCAGCATGAAGACTCCTGAAAGTGAAGGGAAAAGCAGACGGTATCAGAGGCACTGGAGAGTGCAGGTAGTTCTATTGGATGTACAGTATGTGTACATTCAGTATGAAATACAGTGAATAACACAGGAGTTAATGCAAAACAAATTGCCGGTATAAAAAACTGTCCCTGAATGCTGCCATACCTGCCATGTTTTCAAAGGTGAGTGTAGCTGGGGCATTACTCCTCGAGTCACACTCCTGGTATCTGACCCATGTCTTGTCCAAGTCTTCCATAAAGCCATTTTCATGAGAACTGCAGAAAAAAAACAGGGAGATGAAAATGACACCAACTTCTGAATGAGAAAGACATTTTTGCAAGTTCAGGTACACAGACAATTTATCACTACCTCAAATAACGCTCCGGCAAAGAAAGAGAGAACATGAGGTACAGCAGGAGGAAAGAGGCCTGTGGGGATCACAGACCTGAGGATGGCGAGGGAGACATTCTGTTTCCAGGGGCTGTCCTTCCTCATGCCGATGCCAAAGCCGGAGCGGAAGAAGAGCTCTCCAGTTGTGACTAGATCACACTTCTGCGATGCCTCGAACTCAAGCACTGCCGAGTCCCAGATGAAAGCATGCAGCTTGCTGTGAAGGACATTAGGGTGCAGGACAGGTCACGTTTTACCACCGCAAAGAACAGCCGCAAGCCGTGTTTTTCAAGCTAATTAAATACAATCTTGTGAATCTGATGACGACCGACGATGCTTTTTTATTCTGCTGTCATTATTTAACATCAGTAAAAAACACAGACACTAAATAAATCAGGCTCATTAGGGCCATGAAAGAGGTCATCTTCATTTCAGATTGTGGATTTTAAACTCCTCTGTGAGTGGGACATCGGCAGTCTTGAAGGAAGAAGACGGGTATTCTGCAGCTGTTGAACTCGGCCATGTGCTGAGGCAGCGACGACCACTCACTTGTCTCTGACAGCCTGGATGGCCTCGGCCGCACTCTCGTAGTTGTGCTTCTCCATGTGACGGTACATGGTGCTAAGCTCCACCTGCCTGCGGAAGTAGATGTCCACCGAGCTCTGCTTCACCGTGGCGTAGATGAACTTGTCCGAAGGGTTGCGCAGCTAAGAACAGATGAGAATGAAATGGGGGGAGGAAAAGGAACCTGAGAAAAAACAGCAAGATTATCTGGCATTTTCTATGCGTATGCAATGTTTTTACTTCTCCTTGCCACACCATACCTCCATATCTTTTAACATGCATTTAACATAATTTCACTTTGCTTTGCTACAGTTCATGGTGTTTTGACAGTCACACCAATGATTTCATAATGATTATTTCATTATTTCAAAGGGGATCTGACTATCTCCGAAAACCTGATTTTTTAAAACTTAATTCTCCACATTGAGTTAGTTGTTTTACAGACAGGCTAAAACAGAAAATTATAGGAGGCTTGGTTAATGACCTTATTGTTTTTAAATAAAATGGCATTTAAAAGCATTAATATCTGCAAGAATATGTTTTGCAGTCAGAAACCTCCATCTGTTATCAAAAAGCCATTAATTCCCAGCAAGGATCACAGCAACCCAGAGCTCATGACACAAGATGGGACTGTTCCCTGTACCCCAGCCAGAACACCCCGCTGCTGCTCAAAATGTACTGAGATACCAATGAACCTCTCCAGCATGTCTTTGTAAGGTGATAAGAAACTGGAGCACCAGGCAAAACACAGAACATGCAAATGCCCCAGAGAAGCTGCCCCAGTTCAGCCAGGAGGCAGCAGCACACCAAGCTGCCTTGCTACCCAAGTGAGAATCAGTCGTTGTCAGGCTGTGGGGGAGCGGCGCATCACAGTCGGAGGTTGCCCCGGGAGACCACAAACTTTTTCAAAGGGTTTTGTGGTTTTCTGTGGCCTTAAGACATGGTCAGACGTTAACACCACATTCTGCCGGTCATTCATCGTCCACTCGGAGCAGCCTCGCTCCAGCCAGCCCTATGGCTTCAGATGCAGACCCCTGTCTTAGCGGGTCTTCGTTGATCTACAAGTCAATCTCCATACCATCTGCTTCAGCAGCTAGCAGCTACCATTCTTCACTGCTGCTTAACCAGTCGCCCTGGGGTGCTACCTGTCAGTAGCACCTCTCCTTTAGCCATCCTGGAGAGCTAAAGGCCCAAAGTCCATCACTGCTTCAGCCTGCGGCACCAACAACAGCCTCTCGGCTGGGGGCAGAGTTGCAACACAAAACAGATAGCTCCTCGGGTCATCATCCTGCTGTGATCTTAGCACCCTTCCAAGCTTGCTGCAGCTCCTCCAGCTACTTCTATGCCAGAACCTGCATGTGCTTTCTCCCTGGAACCCTGCATTGGACCTGAACTTCCCCAGTCCAGAGTGCACCTCTTGAGCCCAGCTACCAGGAGACCGCCTCGTCAAAGTGTGTGCAGCCGGCACAGCTCCAGGGACGGACCCCTCATCTGTGCTGGCTCGGCAGGGACAGCGGTGGCCCCCACAATCACCTGCCTTCTGCTGCATGTACTGCGCCGGTCAACGCTAGCTTACAGCCTACCATCACCACTGCCACAGCGAAGCCTGATGAGGATCCACACGCTCTCTCATCACTTTCTCCGGAGAGCTTGACCCCGCCACCACTGGGCCCAAACTCTCCGGTCCTGCACCCGATTCTGACTGCAACACCACCGCCACTGTGCCTTGTGCACTTCTCTTAGCGCCTACATGAAGACGTATGCAGAGCCTTGGAGAATCGGTGTTAATACCAGATTTAAGCAGACCATTTTAACAAAGACTGTAGCTGCAGTATGCAAGGGAAGGGCAGTGGCAGAGGTCTCTGAGCTGGACTCCCCCTGGTGACATTTAACTCATAGGGATACTAGCAGGCACACACACCCGAGGGTCATTGATCCCAGTAATGCGCTCCTCTGGCCGGTCCAACACCAGGAAAGCAGCCAGGTTAGCAGTGTAGGAGGCAACGATGATCATGGCAAAGCCAGCCCACACCATGCCCAGAATGCGCGCCGAGAAACTGCGAGGAGCCCCTGAAAACAGACAGACAGCGTTTAGTGTCTGACAAAATGAAGCCAGTCAGAATCACAGTAACAAAACCAGAAAGCTCAGACCGCGCCATCTGTCAGGACAGCTTACTGAACTCCAAACAGGAAAACGAGGTTCTTATAGAGCAGCATGAAGCACACAGGACACTCTGAACACACTGAACTGTCCGCAGTGCACTTGCACCACGCGCTCCTCCAGTTACTGCTCTTACAATGAAACAATAGAAGGATGACTGAAGAGGAAGAGGAAATACGATGGGGGGGATAAACCAGTGATCATTAGACCAGGCTCATTACCTTCTCCAATGCCCGAGTTCAGCAGCACTCCCCAAGAGAACCACATAGCAGATGACAATGTCAGAGCATCCTCTTCCTCTTCTTCACTGTTCACTTTGAACCGTCCAAATGGGCTAGAAAACAGGATAAAGCTGCCCTTTGACACACAGATACTGAATATTACAGATACTCAGAAGACACGCCTTCTCTCCTCCACACGTACACCTGCTGTTGTATCTGGCTCAACTCTACACGCCCCACGGCTCACCGGCTCACCTATTCGAGTCTAAGGAGCCTCCCTGGGCAGTGGGCTCTGTCCCACAGCACCCTCATAATTCCTGAGATGCACACAGACAAAAGAGGCAAAAGACGGACCGAAGAGAAACAGAGAAATGAATGAAAGAAAACACATTTCTAAAAGGAAGAGAATGTAGACAAAAAAGACAGGAACCACAGAACAAAATGGCAAAAAGTATTCTTGAAGAAACAGCAGACAAACTGGGACCCCAATCCACATTTCTCACCTGAATCGGTCTAGTAGATAGAGCATGACTGCCACTACATGCACTGACAGCCCCACCAGCAACCACAACGTGCTCTGGAAGGGCTGCATGAAGGAGTCCAAAGTACTGCGTGGGATTTCCTGTAACACAGAGATAAAGCAATGTCACCCAGGGGCTCACAATCCTTGTGCAGGGGCCTGGAGTCACTCAGCAGAGTATTACTCTGCTCAGCAAGGACCACAGACACACAGCGGCCATGCTACCTTCTTCACCAGTATGGTCAGCCCCTGGTATTTGAATGGCTTGGAGAACTCAATGTATTGTGCTCGTTCATTGTTGATGGTCAAAGGAGCCACTATCATGTCTGCTAATCCACTGAGGAGCTCTCCCATCATCCCATTCCACTCCTTCTTGTTGCTGTTGTTCACCTGGAGAAGAGGAATAAAGATGCAGATTATTGTCAAATGCAAAAACTTTTAAAAACAGGCATGATGAAAAGCATTTTATAACACAAATGCCAGAACTAAAAAAAAACACTGTCCAATGTCAGAAAGGCTTTAAATATTAAATTAACAATGTCTGATTGACTAACATACACACAATAATTAATCAGTTTTTAAGACAGCAAACCCTAGTGTGACCCACGCTGTTCTGCTGTGAGTGTGTGATTTGTAAACATGCGTTTAATAAGTAATCAAGGTCACAGCTAGTCAGTAAATCCTTCCATTTCCAGTAATGCCAAACTCACCCGCTCCTGTGTTCCAAACTTCCCATCAGCCACCAGGTGGACCTCGTAGGTAAAGTTCATAGTCTTGGCAAGTTTGATGAGCAGGTCAATGCAGAACCCATAACAACACTGCGGCACAATGGGGCGTCCTGTAACCCAAACAGCAGAGGCACCTTTTAATACAAGTCTGCAGATTTTCATTGCCAAAGTGAATGTACACAGAATATTGCGTTTATCTATACGCCATATGTATAGATATACATATATTTAAGAAGAGCTCCTTCATGTAGATTTTCTTGAGAAGTAAATCACAGTGACATCATCAACGTCCCTGTTTTGTTACCTGGGATGGTCTCATTGGGGCCCGTGCAGATCACCTTTTTTATCAAGTCTCCGTTGACTGTGTGCTCTTCCTTGCAGGTTCCGTCATGCATTGTAGGCTTCACATAAACAAAGGGCTCTTGGTGGATAGTAACAATCTAAAAACAAAAACACATAATTTAAAGCCCTTTGTCCTTATGGACTTTCTCTTAATTTTTCTGTTTCGTTTTTCTACTGCAATCAGTATCACAGAGCTGACTCCAGCCACGCACAAACCAAACTTCCCAACATCTCCATTCTGTCCCCCAGGATTAAATGGACAGAGACCGTGTTTCAAAACTGAAGCGGTCTGGCTGATTCTTCCTGTCCTGAACTACTGATTCAAGGTAATAATAATCCTTATACTTAAACAGGAATTTCCTGCACATTCCACTCTAAGCGCTTTACAGGTAATGTGGACTCCCCTCCACCGCCACAAATGTGTAATCCCACCTGGATGATGCAACAGCAGTCAACGTGTGCCAGTACGCTCATCACACACCAGCTGCTAGTTGGTTCAGTTCATGGATGGCGATTATTAGATGGCCCATTACCCTTCAGTCTCACCTTCAGTCTGGTTGACATCTGGTACCCTCGTGGCTTCTCTGTTTCCCCACCTGGCCAGATGATCTTTCTTTGGTTGTTAAGCACAACCTGTGCAGGGCCACCAGAAACAGCAGATCAAACACCCAGGACATGGACAGAAGAGATTGAATAGAAGTAGAGGTGTATCCCCTGTCCATTAGTTTGAAGAGCTACTTTTTCTTTAATTACATCCAGCTTTTTAATATTTAAGAATATACAAGTCAAATGACGTCACGGTGGCACCACAGACGCCTTGATCACTGAGCATGGAGAGCTCACCTGTGGCCCAGCCTGAAGATGAGCCATCCGTCTCAGTCTGACTGAGGCTGTCATGAGCTGCTGGCTGGGCCAGGATCCTCACTCATCAACAGCAGCAAGTTGTCTTCACTAAACACTGAGCAAGAGCTGCTGTCCTACAGCTCCCTGTACATGTGGCTACCATTGTAATGGTCCAATTCGACAAGCTCGTCACTGGAGTCTTTCAAAGTCAGATGAAACTAAATAATCTACTAACATTTATCTGTGCACTGTGTATGCCTAACATAGTATTTTTAACTATGTTCTTGTTAAAAACTAACTTGGTTCTTCCTCCCGAGGTGCATTTGCATAGTCTATTCATTTTAATGTTATTTGTTTCCATTTCTACATGACTTGAGATGGAAATGATCATATAAAGAGAAATAAACTGTCACGCTGAGACATAACAGAACATAAGGATGTTGGATCTGCACAACCTGTTGAAAAAGCATTACACTACAGAAATAAGACTTTAGAAATAAGCTTTAGAAAAAAAATAATTCTGTTGGATGAACTGTAAATTACTTACAGATTACGTAACTTTTTGGCCTTATTTCTTGTGAATGGATGTGTGACAGGCAATGCAGTGTGAGTGCTCTCTGGTGCACTACAGTAAACTAACTGACAGTCAGGAGCATTAAAAATATCCCCCTACTTGAGTGCCGTTGTATATGCCCACTTGCACCAGCCTGCTTTTCTGGTAGTTCAGAATGCTGTAGTGGGCAAATTTCCGGTCCCCATCATCGTTAAACTCCACCCGTCCCGTCAGACCATCGGGATACTTGGAGGACATCAGTACTCTGAGAATTCAGATGACAAATCATCACTCTGGCGGCAATAAGAGCTACAGAATTGACAGACTTTCAAAGCTGACAAAGGTGTCATGACCTTATCATTTCATGCAACGTGGTGTACAGATAACGAAGTTTTGAAAATCTACTATTTTGCTTCTTATCCCAATACAACATTAATTTGAAAGTATTAAATTTTAACTTTTCGACGGTAAGATGAATTCAAACATGAATTTGTTTCACGTAGGAACATGAAAGTTCTCATACTTTGGCGAATATTGCTTATATTCAAGAACATATGCATTCACTGACCCTTTCGTTATAATAATACAACTGAGGTATATGCCAAGAGTAGCTATAATCCAACTTCACTACATCAGGACTTGTAAGAAACACTGGACCGTGGCTCTCTGAGAGTACAATGTATCTGGTTCTGTCTAACAGTAGTAGTAGTTCAGTCCTGACACTGAGTAAAGACCTAAAAAGTAAAGCAGGGTAAAGCTGACTCATTTGTATTTCTCTGAACTGGTGTTCTTTTAGTAGCAAAATTGCCTCATGCAGTATAATTGTCAGATTTTGGATGAAGCAACTACTATCTGAATCAGTGTTTCATATGAATGTCACCACTGGGACTGTGGGAGTGTGCTTATGGACTAGAGAGTGGCTGACAGTCAGCTGGCCATGCTGCAGCTCATACCGTTTGAAGAGTGGTCCCGTTTTCCAGATGTTCGTATTGCCAACGCAGCCCCTTGGTGGCTCCGTGATGTTCTCCTTCTCGAAGAGCTCCAGGATGGACTGAGCCACCACAGCCACTGCGTCGTTGATGTGCGCTGACTCATTCTTCCCGTTGATGAGCTGGAGGCCAATCAGCCCTGCCAACACAGAGACTTTCAGGTTCCAAGAGCTTCTGCCGACTCATCAGACACTATTCCCATGCAAAGGCATTATCCTCTCTTTTTTAAAATAAGCATCTCATTTAGTACTGACTGACTGCATCACACACTTTACCTGCTTACAAGAATCATCTACACACTTTATTTGAGAACATGTTTAGAGTGAGAACTGCTGAAGAGCGGAAGGGATTCTCACCATCAGGGGCTTCACTGAGAGCCTTTCCTGACATCTCCCTCTCTCCCACCAGCCACACGTAGCCGGATCCGGTCATGTTCAGGTGCCGAGCTGCTTTGTACACTGCAGCAGCATCCTCTTCACTTGGAACAAACAAACATTGTCACCAAGACACATCCTGAAACACTGAACCAGGCTCTTTTCCTAAATATCCCCTCCCGCAGTTTCCGTAACAGCCTTCCAGTCAAGAGAGCCAGGCCCCCTCCAAATGACACTTTCACTACCCAAAACCAAACAGGTCCTTTTCCCCTTCAGTGAAAGCTCTTAAAGCTTCAGAATAGATTCTGAAATATAAAAATGGTACAAATAAGGCATTTCATGACACTGGGATTTCATTCCTCTGTCACCATTGTTGATATTGTACAACATCATGTTCAGCTTTTTCTTGCTTCTCATGCAGTACTTCATCAGCAAGCAGGCACAACAGGAAAACATGCGGTGCTCATTATTGCCTCCTGTGGAAGAAGAGACCCCTGTGTACAGCACAATACATTCATCAGCTTAACCCAGGGGTGGATTACCAGTGGAACATCACCTTGGCACGACCAGAAAGTGCATCAAGTATCATTCCAGTGTGGAGAAGAAGGAGAGGAAATGAGACTAACCTAGCAGAGAGGATGATGACACGGGCCTCCAGCTCCTTGGCTTCCTGCAGCAGCGCCGTTAAGTTTGTGTCTTGATTGAACTGAAGGACTTTCTCTGCCTGCGATTGGGGCACAGAATCAGTCAAGTAGGCTACTTACCCACACTGAGAACCATCTGTCTTTAGTTCTTGATTTGTTTTCTTTTTCTTTTTAGTAAAAAAAAAAAGATTTCCAAGAGAATCTGTTCAACTAAAAAAAAATTCATAGTTTAAGCTTGGAGAAAAAAGTTCTTCATTGGGCATGCAAACTCAGGGTTATCAAGACTCCAAAGAAGGACGTGCATGTTAGAGATAGAGGGGAGAAGAAGATCAATGCAACTGGAAATTAAAGACAGGTGGAGAAGGGAGAGGGGGCATTTTTATCCCAAAAAACATTTGAAAGTAAGAAAATCTGCAAAAAGGGAAGTAGCATCTGGGAAGTGTCTGTCCCACACTACCAGATTTCCACAAAGATATATACTTGCAAACTTTGATTTTGACACATGCATTCCTTACACAAAAATAAGGCCGGACTTTTTATTGAAATAAAAAACTCTCGCAACATAAAACCATTCTCGATTAAAATCATAAAAAGTCTAAACAGAAAAAGACGTGCTACCAGATAAGAATTTCTGGGTCGATTGGTGACTGTGTTTGATTGGTTTCTAGTTGCTACTTTTATAGAATTGGTGGGCGGCGTGCATTGTCCATGCAAATATACCTTGGGTCCTCGCTTGTTGTCATAGGACAGTTGGTCGAGGTTTTCATAGTTCCTGTTTTTATTCTGATGAATAATGTGCACAGAGAAAATATGCAGACACAGAAGAATATTATAAACAGTTGAAAATGGTGTGCAGTAAAGCAATCCAACATCTCTCCACTTTCCTGCTTCAAAATTGGATTCTCTAACGCTGGGGCTTGCAAAAATATCAAAGAGGACAGCTAATTGAGTTTACGGTTGATCTTCTGTATTTTATATAGACAGGCATAGAAAGCTTGCTGCTGTGAAATCTCAAAATAGAGTTTCAGCTTTTCCGCTCAACATCTCAACTTGAATTTGAGTTTGAATATTATTATTAGAATACCTGCATTGATTTTTGGAACCATAAAACTCTTATTTTAACAAACTTTCTTGTGATCTATTTGGGAACACTGGTATTTAAGTTGGCGATTTTAAATGTCAGTTAAAAAAATATGTATTTTTTTAAATGAAAAGAGTTTTGTCTGTGGAACATTGTTTAAGCCTTAAATCAATAGTACATATCCGCATCATGGTTACGTATTTTAAGAGAATAAAACGTCACAGCAGTTGAATGGTGGCTCTGCTTCAGCGGTCATGGTGGTGGTTCACTTGTGACAATTTTAGTGAGGCGGCTGTTTCTCGCACTCACGGCATATCGCAGGAATAGTGTAATATATCAGCCATTTCCTCCTGTGAATTACACATTAATAGCTGAAGGGTTTTGATTTTTCGGTTTGTCTTTGGATAATAAGCTCTACAGCACCACTCCAGTGTCCCCAGGATTCCATGTCTTTGACTTCAAAGCTGCCCACAGCCCTTCAACAAGGGCTGAACAAAAGCAACCAGTTTGTGGCCAATTAGACGCTTTGCTTTCGGCAGGAAGACTTTGCGCTGGAGCCTAGGGGCTCCTCAGGGTGGAGCGGACTCCGAGCAGACACTCGGCAAACCGAGAGCACGCGATCCCCCTCGATGACCTCCAGCAACACTTTGACCTGTTCACACATTTCAGAGCACTGGAGCAGCTGCAGGGAAGTGCCTTGCGCTGGGGTGGAACCGAGACGCCTGCAGCCAGTGTCCAAGTGTCCAGCCAGGGCTCGGCAGAACTGCACGCCCCCAGCGCCAGTGTGGAATGTGCCCCCGGCTGACATACTGTGAGCAAGCGAGGTGACTGACCACTGTGCGTCAACAAGCACTCGAAGAGCAATACCTAAAGTCTTTATACTTTTGACACACCTGCCAAAAACAATGATTGATTTAAAATAATAGTACACTGCTGATGACTGAGCCACACCGTTTGCTGTAAACACCATGCAACCAGCGATGTCACTGCCCCAAACTGCCAAATGGCGCCACCAACAAAGCCCATGAACTACTATTCTTATTTAATAAGCTTACTCTTGACTTTGTGGAAAAAAAACTGTTAATAGGAAACACACTAGAACGCTTTCAGTTTTACAGTTATGAATTCTGGAAGGTGATATTCTAAAAGCGTCACAAAAATCCAGGCTTACTGTGCACATGAGATGGACTGTTAGAAAAACAACAACTTCCAAAAACGTCCAGTACGTCCAGTACAGCACCGGCACAGAACGAATCAAAAGTCCTCCACCAGAGTGTCACTGCTGACCAGACCCAACTGTCTACAGCACGAGCGCAGCGCAATGTTGTGATTCCCGCGTGCTGGCCGTGTCCAGCTGCAGAGGCCCGGCCCGGCCCGGCCCGGCGGAGCCCACACGACACCCAGGAGAGCCCACTTCCTTAGCAAGCCGGAGGCAGCTCCCTCGGGTTTGCTGTGATTGCAGGACGGATAAGACAGGAGGGAGGAGGGAGGACTGCGACAGCAGGTTTACTTCTGAAGCAAAATCACTTACGTGCCAAACAACCAATCTGTCTTCTTGCCAAAGACTTTGAGCTGCTTTTACTCATTTTCATTTACTGGCATTTTCTAACATATAATACAAATTCCACTGCAACATATCAAGGATATTTTTAAATTGCCAATAATCTTTTATTCTATGTTCTCTGACTTTAGATATTGAAAATACAGATTATTTTTTATCTCATTCCTTACTGGGTGGCCACATCGTTACTTAGCAACAGCTACCCCAGCTGTGCCCAACAGGGTGGGGGGTCACACTGCTGCCTTGCTCCAACAGACGCCCCCTACTGGGGTCCTCAGCATGTCTTCAGCACTTACTTCAACAGGACATTCATCATCACATTCTGTCATTTCTTTTTCTCCAGATAAGAATTCATACTGACTTTTTTCTCTGGTGATATATGCAGGTGAAAACCAACCCCTTTTTTCATTAAATATCAAGAATGCAAGTCCTTTGCAGTCTATTTATTCAAATTCTTTTACATCGACTCCCCCTTGTGAGCAGAACCTGCATTTGCAGCCAAAGGCTGTTCCAGATTTGCACTGACACAGTACCGACGAATGACGTCATTTGTTAAACATCAGACCAGACCTGACATTCGACAGCAAGTGGATTATTGCATTGTTAGACCTGGCCAAGTTCTACCCATAAATACTTACAATCATTAACAGATTGATACACTTATTACAGACTTATTTCAGCAAACAACTACAGTTTTTAATTCAAGTACGATTAAAGGTTTGTCTCACAACACAATCAAGCAGCATCTCCTACAAAACCAACAGCTGGAAAGCAGAACTCAGCCCTGAAACAGCACCTGGAGGCCTGGCAATACGTCATTCAAGAGCTGAGCCCTCATCTACAGCAGAGCCAATCTGCAGTGTCACCTTCAGCTTAATTAGCACAACCCCAGTAAAGCAGAGTAGCATCTTATAAGGACATCTTAAGGCAAAGTGTAATAAACTATTTCTTGAAAATAAAGTACAGCCTTGAAACACAAAAACTTCTCTTCACTTAAAATCCGTAGGAATCGTTTGCATTGCTTTGTTTTATCAATTAATTAAATATCTGCATACAAAGTAAATCCAGCAATTTATGTATTTGACTTGATTGATTTTTTGCAGAGCCCCAGGTTACATCCTTGATTTTGCTCCTGTTGTGGATTCACACGAAGGAGAATTTGACTATGCGCAAAGCACGTGAGATGAGTAAGTACAAGGTTTTGTCAGATAACCAGTCAAGACGCTGTTGATGCTTCTAGCATAAAATGTTAGCCAATGTTACAATGGAAAGAAATGTGTTTACATAACAAAACTCTACATACATAGAACACCTCTGAGATATTTAACACGAGTACCTTACACACACACACGCGCGCGCGCGCAGACACGGGTGAAGGGCGCGGTGTCTCACCTTGGTCTCCTTCTCTTCCAGCAGGGTCTCCAGCCTCTTCTGCGCTGCCCGGCCCTCGTGGTCGTCGCTCACGATCAGGATAATATGATTCCAGCGGAATTCCCGCATCATGTCGAACCAGACATGTGCCTGGTGAGAGTAGGGGGGCACCGTGCGCAGGAACGACAGGTGTATACTCTGAGGGGGGAAGGACAGCATCAATGTACAACAACACAGTTACCGTGTTACTGTGCTCACCGGCCCTGCGTCTCTTTAACGGCTGCGTGCCTGGGGGATACAGCACTGTGCTGGAACAGCAAGAGAACATCAGTAAAGGCTATGGTGACGAAGCACAGGAAAACTCTTAGGAAGGATTTACTCATAACAACTTTATGAAATCCTGAATAGACACCAAGCTCAAAGCACTTTGGATTGGAACAAAAACACAGGTTGAATTTAATAAGGCATGAAAATATGGCGATTGCATCAAAACCCCTTCCAGTGGAGGACGCTGTGCCAGGTGTGCTGGTCTCACCTTGTCAGAGTAGATGGACATGCGGGTGGTCAGTCCCACCACAGGGATGCGGTAGAAGCCAGCAGTATAGGACACTGGAGTGGGAGTCAGGTGGTCATTAGACTGTGGTGGGTGGCTCACGAGGATAGCATACACCTGTCCGAAAAACAAGAGAGTTAAAAGATGCACCAGATCTTCTGCTCAATCAGACTGGACCATGGGAACAGAAACCCTCTATCTCAAGCAGTAACCCGGGCCCAGTGCACAGCAGAGGTCGGGCTCAGCTTCAACAAGAAGGGTAACAAAGAGAATGGCATTAGTTTACGATGCGGCCAGCAGGAACACAACAACAGCGCCTCCTCGTTCTGGTTATCATGAAGAACTAGCAGAGCTGAGCAGCTGCAGCTTATTTTGGAAGTTCTGCTCTTCTTACATGCCAGAGCCAGCACAGCTTTCTGGGGTCCCTCCACATCACGAGGGGCGCAGACACGACTATTATCAGCTCCCACCCCACCTTACTTTACTATTTAGAACAATTACATTCATGAATTATATAACTAGAAAACATATTAACCAGCTCAGGAGAGCACATAATAAGTTACAAACAAGAAGCACACATTTTACAAGGAATATGTAAAATATTCCTTGTACCTCAACTGTCAATGTTGAGGTATTTCAACATTGACAGTAATAAAGAGAACCATTAATAATAAAAAACGATCAGCAGAATCTGTAACTTCAAAATTAGAGGAAAACGGAATAAAAATTACTGCATTGAAACCTTTGTATAAAATATTGTAGAAACAAATATGTAATTAAAGACGAATTAGGTGCACTCAATAACAAGGGAGTTGAGATCAGTAAAGCTGAGCAGATGGGAAACTTGACAAAACAACATTCTGCACATGGCCAGTCCGCTGAGCCCGCTTTGTGCCAGGGGGGACATCAGGCGTGTTTGAATCGGCTTGAGCTCCGAGCAGCTCCTCTCTGGTCCGCCTGCTGTCACCGGGGGTGGCTGCAGTGCGAGGGCTACCGGCTGGGTTCACAACACCCCCAATGAATGTGATACAGGAGAAAGCGCGTTTTAATACTAGTCTTTTCTACTAAACTTTTTGCTTTCACGCTTCTGTTTGGCCGGGCTGCGCTGATGACCCGCACGGCGTGCGTACAACTGCGGGAAACGTGTAGTTAAACAGTTCAACACCTCCAGTAGGCTACGCGTCTACCTTGAAAGTGTGCATTGCCTGCCATTCGCTGGTTATATGGACCTGACGGGCTCAAAACAAAAAGAAATACAAAAGCGTTATTACACTGAATTCGTGTGGCGTACCTCTGCTTGGAGATCGCTTGTCCCGCACTTCTTTTCCGAGCTTCAGAAACGTTACGTACTCGATTAATATTGGTCATTTTTTGACCGGGTTTCCATTAGGACAATCCAAAGCAGAAAGAGAAGGAGTTTCGCTCACATTTGAACATGAAGATTAAAAACGGTGTGTTGCACACTGAGGAGACCCTGGGCATTCACCTAGCTCGACTATGCCCTCGGCCGGGCCGGATTTCAGTTTTTGGACCCTGGTGTATAATACGGATAGGGAGACCAGTTCCCCTCCACTCCGCAAGAGGGCGCCCTGGTTCGGGCTAGATGGCGTTTGATGCTACTCCAGGTTTTGCTTCTGCCTCGACGGTGGGTGTGGTTTTACCTCTGCAGGCAGGTGAGTATGATTAGCCACAGTTAACAAATGTAAAAAAATCTAATATATATGTCCTTTACTCTTTATGTTTTCCTTTGCGAGCTTGCTGTTGTGATGGATAATACGAATCTTATAACAAGCAAGTGCACGGCTTCTTTTTTTACAGCCCAAACCCTGCAGGCTTTGAGACGGTGCTCCATCTCACAGTGAAGTAAAGCAGATTCTGAAGTCACAACTAATCAGTTTTATTCAGCAGGACAAGGAATTGTTGACACCTTATATTTTACTCATCAGGGTGGTATGCTTTGAAATCTGAGCCACGATGGTTTCACTATTGCAACAGCCATGCCTGTTGCTGATATAGATGTGCTGACAAGAAGAATTAATAAAGTGACACGTTTGGAGGGGAGTAGAAACATACCCATTGGGTCGGATCGTTTAGAACCTGATCAAACAGATTAAGGAAGTGCCTGGCGTGACTTGTCTTTAAGATAAGTGATTCTATTCCTTTTCAAACATTCATGAAGCTAAAAGTCTGAAATACAGATCCGTCTGGATTAACTATGGTCTTGAAACGCAAGAGAAACAGTTTCACTTGGATTGTTATAGAATTGTTTCTACATAAAGAAGTAAAAACTTAGTGAACAGAATGGACTCATAAACATGTCTGCGAGGTGACACGGTGTGCGCGCGAACTGGCAGCGCTGGACTCGCCCTCTGCTCAGAGACCCGAGGAGCTCACACTGCACCAGCTGCACGCCCTAGTGCACAGCCAGGGGAGACGCGTGAAACGTGCAGAGCATTATGACCACAGATGTATTGTGCACCATACGTTTCATAAAATTGTCCCCTTGTCCTGCCCATGACGTGTGGAAAGTCTGACGGTATTAATATCAGCTTTGTTCCCTCTTCAAATAGGATCTCACTACTGCATGTCTGAGATGCCTTTAGTCTAAGTGATTTCCCTGGTCAAAGATTGGAATTATTTTCACTCTTAATAGGTTATGAATAAGTAGCACATTGTTTGGCCATGCTGTTTGTGGGATTTATATCCTTTTATATCTCTTTGCTGTTGTCTTCCACCACTTTGTTTAACTACAGCCCGTGTTCTGCTCTTGAGTCGGCGGTGACGCGTCATGTGACCAGTGGAGCCCGTGGATCCGACTCCGCGGAACCTCCTTCCTCGGAGATCACGCGTGTTGCCTCCTGTCCGCTGAGGCTCTTGAGTGGGTGCGTGCTCCACGAACTGCGATTTAAATACTGCCTCACGCAGTGCGGTAGTAATATATACAGCTCATTACAAATCACATTTCAAAGTTGAAAGAATTATACGTGATGACTCTAGTGTAATGGTTTTAATTCATCCTTATTTTATTCTAAATACTGCTCTTCACTGTCAAACAAAATAGTGCTCTCTGTGTATTCTGGAAATCATGTAGAAAAATCGTCCATATTCTACCTCTAATCTTTGTATCATGCTCTGTAATCTATAGAACGCCACTCTGCAAACACACCACACACATCCCAGTCTCCAGTCCTAATGTAAGAATTGTTTCCTCCGAAAGAGGATCGACTAGTGTTTAACGACATGATGGCGTCTCTGGTTATTCCGTTTTCCAGTTCAGTTCGGTTAGTGAACGATTCATGTTAATGAATCGTAGCCTGAAAATATGCAATACGGAAAGTATTGCACCAAAATTAATATCCTTACGTCTTGTCTGTTTAAGTAAATATTCAGAATGTTACCAGTGTGATTCTGGGGAAATGTATCAAATGTGTGATGTATCAAATTATTATTTTGATTATGTAGTTTGTGAATAACCAGCTTTAGGAATTGTAGCAGAAAAATAATGCAAGGAGTATTGATATGAGCAAAAATCGTCGTCGTCGTGATCAGCCTGATGGAATCAAAATTAATTACTACTCTTCAAATAATGAAGAAAACATAACACTAAGCAGTAATGTTATCGTTAATGAAAGGTTTTCATATGGATTGTAATGGATTGTTTCTGATATAAGCTCACTTTGTATGCGCATGTAGATCTGCGTGTCTTCAATAAGGAATTAATTGGGTCATCCATGATGGCTTGCATATCTGACTGTTCCACACTGGTGTCGGAGGGACTCTTAAATATCTGAATCGTTATGATTCCAGTGAAAATAAAATAAAGAAAATAGTGTTTTAATTTAAGCGATTTAGTTTTGCGTTACCGAGTTCGCAGATTTCAACCAGATGCTGCTCCCAGCTCAGCGGGTGACAATCAGGAGAATCAGACCGCCCGAACACCCCGAACTCCGACCGATTCGAGCTCTGATGGACCAACAAAGCGCCGATGTTGCGGTGACATATCGTGTGTGAATTACATTCGTCAGGGAAGAAACGAATCTCGTCGTGTTTACCTGGCTGGAGATGAGGTCTTCGCATACAGACAGAGCCATCTGAATGGCGTTCGGCTTGTGGGTGACGGAGATGGCATTCATCTTGAACTTCTCTTTCCCGTACAGTTGATTAGCTTGAGTCACTGCGTCTTTGAAGACCTGCTCGTACCTCTTCTGGCTCAGGACAGCCCCGATATTCACCATTTTGGGTTCGCAGCCGCCCCTGGCGCAGGAGCAGGAGAAGAAAACCGCCAACAGAAACAAGCGCATCGTGTGAAAGACTGAACTACTATGCGGACACGACGAGAGTCACTCTGAGCTGTCGGTCGGTCTGTCTCCTCGGCTGCGCTGGCTATCCTGTGCTCTGTGAGCCTGTTCAGCTCAGGGATTTGCTGTCACTGGAAAAAATCATTTTCAATATGCTCTGCAAAGGAATGTGCTCTGTCCTCGCCTGCATGTGGAACATGAATAGATCTGTATGAAACCTTTCCCCTTTTTCTTTTAATTTGCCGAAATATCACGTATCCTTGTTTTTATTTTACTGAACTAGATCCGCTTTTAGAGGCAACTGTTGAGAAAGGTCTGTGGAATTGCCTTGATCTTCCAGCCTTTGTCCTGGATGCTGTAGATGCCTTTGCCATGCATGTATAAATGTAACCTGTCCGTTCCTCCCTGTGCCCCAGTTCGCGGTGTTGGTTGGGTTCGGACGCTCAGGGTGAGTGAGCTGCTTGCAGCAATCTCGCGCCGAGCTCTGTCCCTGGTACTGACGGCCGTGCACGAGCACAGGCGCGCTCCCGCGGCTCCGCTCAGTGCGCAGTTCTAGGTCGGATGGCCGGTCTATGATGTTCAGTTCAGGGACCAAACCTATTTTTAGTCGGCCTGAGGATCGCAACATAAAATAAAATAACTTTATTTTAATTAATAATTTTACGTGTAAAATGTTCTGTTTAAAAATGGAACACAAGGAGCAAACTGTGCTTCTCTTACGCCAGTGTCATCATACGCTGTATTTTATTTAGACTTTATTACTGCCATGCGCTTTTAAAACATATTTTAATTCCCCTGTCGTTCACATTAATTTTACATATTTCGTGAGTCACATTGTTATTCTGACCACTGTCCGAGAGGCTCTTCCTTCCCTGTTGACCACTGCTCGCCCTGACCTGGAGCAACGGCTGTAAATTGAATATTTTAAATAACCAAGTATGAATTAAATTGACGTTTATGCGTACAGTATATAAAACTCCTATATTCTCCAGTTTCTCCATTCTGTAGCGTGAGTCCCTCTTTTGTTTTGTTTTTTTGCATTTCATCTGGGTTATTACATAAGTGTGTCAGCAGTGGATTGAACTGCTCAAACGTGAGAAACAGCAGATGTGTTCTATACACGATTGCAAGAGGATTTCCGTTTATAAATGTGTAAAGTAATGAATAATTATATAAATCTGATTTACTGCTGTGAGTTTTAGTGATCATTTTCTTTAAACAATCGATTATTATTAAACGTACTGTACGTAACATTAGAATGTGGTGAAACTGAACCCTCTGACAGTCATATTTCATCAACTTGAATTAATGTGATTCCTATGGATTTCATTTTTTTGTAAAACTGTATACGCAGTTTTCCATAAAACGTTTTTTTCTCCTTCGGCAACATTATAATACAGTACCGAGCCTCAGACTGACTGCGCATCCCGACCGAACAGCGTTTCCATAGAAACCAGACGTTCCCGACTGAAGTGTTGCAAACAGTGTACTCGAAATGGTGATTAAAGCTCGGTGTGATCACAAAATTAAGCAATACCCTCGCCTCTACAGACGCATAGAAAAGATTCCAGTAATATCCTGGTCATTTTTATGGAGAATGTAAAGTAAAAACAAATATTATGGTAGTATCCTCAATTACCAAATACCACTGCTTTAAACAGCATTGTGATGAAGTCATCAGCAGCCAATCCGCAGTCCACACTGCAGGATATAATTAACCACTGTGCTTTTGCCAGTAGCTTGAAGAGTGCAAATGAATCAAAGGTTTTGAAGTAATGGGTGTTTGGTAATATACCTACTAGTGTAAAAAATAATGTTATTAATTTTAGATACAATAATTGAACATCCAGACTGATCAGCTGGACAGGATGATTCCTAGGACAACTTTGTAATGTCTGAGAATTTTCTAATGAATATATTGTATTGAAAACATTTACACATTCCTGTTTCTATGATTATAACTACAAGACCACAAATTTAGCCATTTGAGGTTTTATTGCATAGGAGAGAAGACAAGTTGTATCTTCTTGTTGCTCTTATGTGAGACAATGAAAGTCTTTAAAAGATAAACCTATATGTTTATACAACATATTCAGAATTCCATTCAAAACAGGAACATTGTGTAAAATGTTTAAGATACCTATACACTAGTACATTAGTTTCATCACTTATATCCCTCCCTTTTTTAACTGCCTCTTCCAATCCAGAGTGGTGGTTGAGCTGGAGTCTATCCTAGCAAGCAATGGGCCCAGGAAACCCCGAGCGAGATGCCAGTCCATCGTAGGGCACCACAAACACACAAAACGAGGGCCAGTTTTTCCCACATACCAATGAACCCATCAGTATGTCTTCGGACAGCAGGAGGAAATCGGGGCACCTGGAGAAGATCCAGGCAAACACCAAACACAGGGACAACAGAGACTCCACACAAATCCCAGCGCAGGTCTGGAATCGCACCCAGAGTCCCAGCGCTGACCACAGCACCACCCTGCCACTCTCGCCTACATACGGATCCTACAACAGTACACACTAGGCCCAGCAATCCATTTCCGCACTGGATTCCTCCCAGTTCCTGATGTGCAGGCCCCATGCACACAGAGAACAAGGGCGCCGCGCACTCGCGGGCCCTCTGCCTCAGGGGATCCTGTGGACAGGCGCTCTGTTGCAGCGAGGGGCCTGCGTGCCTCCTGCTGGGAGCTACAGAATCAAAGGGCCGACACGACTCCCGCTGGCCTGCTCTCTGTGTGCTGCTGCCCCTCCCCCGCTGCAGTACAGCGACACCCCTCTGCACTGCGCCTGTCCGCCTCGGCTCTCACAGGCCCTGTGAGCTGCACTGCACTTTTATCACATTTAGATGACAAGCAGAATTGTCAGACAGTTTTACATCCAGGTAGTGTTATTCAGATGTATTTATTGGAATTACTTACCTTAACAATAGCGGAGGATGCACATGCATTAGGCATGATGTACAGTAGTCGTCCTGCTGCTTAAGTACATTATTAAAGAGGACTCTGACCCTCTGCTTCTGATGCATCCCGGGAGCCTGTTTAATGTTTGGAAAGTGTTCTTCATTTGAACGATTGCTCTAACAAATCTCATTAGAGACACTTTTGAGAGAGGAAAGGAATCTGAAGAGGAACCACAACTCTCTCTCCCCTGGGGGAAATCACAGGTCATTTTGAAAGTGCTGTGAACAGTCTGAACCTGTATAATATCCTTTCATGTGTCTGCAGCATTTTTCAGTGCCGTGAAGTTAAGATATTATTACAGCAAGAGAAGAGGCATTTGGAAGAGGCAAAATCAAAAATTTTAAATTATTATTTAATACGTGGCATGTTCTGAGGCTTGGAAAGATGAGTAGGTAAAATTATAAAATTATTTCAGTCTGTTTTGGCAGTCCTAGTGCTCGGGCTGGGCTGGGGGCAGTCCTGGGCCTGGTGCTCGGGCTGGGCTGGGCCTGGTGCTCAGTCTGGGCTGGGGCAGTCCTGGGCCTGGTGATCGGGCTGGGCTGGGGGCAGCCCTGGGCCGGGTGCTCGGGCTGGGCTGGGGGGCAGCCCTGGGCCTGGTGCTCGGGCTGGGCTGGGGGGCAGCCCTGGGCCTGGTGCTCGGGCTGGGCTGGGCTGGGGGCAGTCCTGGGCCTGGTGCTCGGGCTGGGCTGGGCTGGGGGCAGTCCTGGGCCTGGTGCTCGGGCTGGGCTGGGCCTGGTGCTCAGTCTGGGCTGGGGGGGCAGTCCTGGGCCTGGAGCTCGGGCTGGGCTGGGGGCAGCCCTGGGTCTATTTGCTGACGAGAGTGAAGAGCAGCACCAGCACGATGACGGGCAGGAACACCAGCAGCAGGCAGCTCAGCTCGGCCAGGTGCAGCAGGAGCAGGGCCACTAGGTGGCAGCAGCGGCAGCGCGGTCGCAGAGCCCGGATGAAGCGCAGCAGCCCGGGGGGATAAGGGAAGCAGCCGCACGCCCGCCCAGTCTCTAGCCGGGACACTAGCTGCCGTTCTACATTAGCGCACAGCCCCCTTTGCCGGGGGGGCAGAGCAGATGAGGAGGGAGTGGGCTGGGGGGTGCTGGGGCTCGACGTGCCCATGTGGCTCATCAGTTCCTCCTGCATGCTGCGGATTTCCCACTGTGGCAGCGGCGTCTTCTGCCGGCACAGCGGACAGCAGACTCGGCTTCTGTCAGTGGCGCGCTGCTGCAGCGCAGCCAAGCACCGCTGGCACACCGTGTGGTGACAGTGCAGCAGCGCCCTCAGGCGGTCCCCCTGGGACTCGTATAGTTCGGTGCAGATCGGACACTCGTCGGTACTCTCCGAGACGGCCAGGCCGTTGCGGTTCAGCGAGTCCGGGTTTCCCTTGGTCTCCTCCACCAAGGAGAGCAACGGTCCTGCACTCCAGGTCTCACTGAGGCGATCCCTCGCTTCCCCGGGTCCGCTCTGCACCTCGCTCCCGGTTTCCCGGAGCAAAGGCTCCCTGACCAGGTCACTCTGCTGCTCCCGCTCGGACTCCCCGCCGTCCCAGACCTCAGCGGGCGGCTTTCGTGCTTCCGAGCACCGTCCTCCAGGCCACACCTCGGGGCGGGTAGTGGGTCCCAGCGCCGCGGGGCTGTGCTGGACCGAGAGAGCGCCCTCTGCGTCAGGCTCCGGCCGCGCCGCGCTGCTCGCACCCAGGGACGCCGACGAACTGCGGCGAAGGGCGGCGACCACCGGCCCCTCCTGCGGCTCGTCCACCGCAGAGGCCGGGGCAGGAGCTCTCCCGGGACAGACGAGTTCGTTCTCCGCATTCGCGTGTCCTTCCTCTTTGGGGTCCAGCTCCATGGTTTAAACAAAGCACAACTCCACTCTATTAACGATATATCACCATGATCGTATAATCAATCTGTTGAAGCAAAGTTCTATCGACACTATTTAAATTATAGTTCACCGCCTCACTGAAATCAGAAACACAATTAAAGCGCTGGATTTTAAATGTGCTCTATTTTTCGCTATACTCCGTTCTGTGGCTATACGAGGCAACGGGCGCTTATTAACGCTCTTCATTTGCAGAAGACCGCGGAAAGGAGAGTTAATTAGTGGGCGAGCGGCGCAGTCGATCATGAACAAGGTCTTCCAGCAGCTGGGGATGTGGGAGTGGCTGTCTGTCCCAATCGCCTCCGTCTCCACAAGCAGTTTCCCAGATAAGTCCAGATAAAGTACTCTGCACACCTGCCTGGCACTGGCCGCCAATCGGGAAGGACGCTAATGAGGTGGGGACTTTTTCCAGTTGGAGGTGTGCAATCGTGAGCTGTCTGAATGATATCGCAATTATCCAGACAAATACTGTGCGTATTGAAACACCAAAAATGTTTCACCTACGAACAGATAGGCGATCGCGACAGTGCATAGCCCACGCTTAACATTCAAACTGCACTTAAAGTTCCGTGTGCAAACAGCCAGCTGTCTACTCCAGGGTGTCACTCTGACCTCCCGGGCAGTCTGGCGTCTGCTGTGTTTTCTTTCAGCCTGAGTAATCAAGGAAGCAAATTATTTTCTTAGCTAGATCTACACGGGCTGTTTCTTCAGGTTGTTTGCTGTTAATCATTCAAACCACACGCTGCATTAAAGGTACAGTTACTTACAAAACATCTCAGGGCCAAGTTACAAAATGCTCCCACTGAGAGCTCAGGTTGGAGCAAAAACCAAACGACAACAGACCCTCCAGGAGTCGGGTCGCTGCTTCACAACGCAGAGGCTCATCTCCTGATAACTCTTGAACTTGAACTTGAACTTTATTGCCATATGTAACCGGTTACTGGTACAATGGAATTCTTACTTACAGAAAGTCTTTTGATTGTAAAACAAGTGTAAAAAACAAGACAAAGTGCAAACAGTGCATCAAGACAATGTACAAACAAACAATAGACAATGTGCAAGTAAACATGTAGACAGTTTGA